GAGACAACCCTCTTCGAAAATTCATTCCCTTATTTTCGAAGCTTAAGGAGGGAGGAGTTAAGTAGCCGTTTCCCATAAGAACCGCGGAATCAGCACCACCTTTCCCAGGAAACGAGAAAGCAAGATCAACAGATTGTAATTTCATATTAATGTAAAATGACTTAAATTTCATTCCTTGTCTGTACGCTTTTCAATAAAGTCGATAGTTTGTAAAATTTCGCGTTTTTTAAAAACGAGAATCGTTTCGGCGAATCTATAGTCGGTTTATAGGCGTAAAAAATTTTATTCTACAAAAAACCGTAATACGTTTTTGCTCTAAAATAATTTGGGGAGCCAATAATCGCATGTTATGAATTTTACTTTGAAATCCCTATGATGCGTGACGCAAGTCACCACCCTGTATATCAAGGTAGAGAAGTACAGTATTATTGCCTGAGCACCAAAATTACATCTCGAGGCGCTTGCGCCGAGGGTTGTAAGGTGCGAAGGCAATAATAGACTTCTCTACCGTGGTATATATACCTACTATTTTTGCACTACTAGCACTTGAAGTCCTCTAAATTAACATATTATATTGATGAGAAAGTGAACGGTTGGACAGAATTTTTTGTTTATTAATTTAACATGTCAATCAACTGTGTGGAAGTACAAGTCAAACAGGCCGTATTTTGTTCTGTCATTGAGATATTTTCAAAGAGTAATTTCGTTCGAATTTTTTCAAAATGTGATAATTTTTATTTTTATTTTTTTTTTATTTTATTATCCCTCTCTTGTTTTGGGCCCTCAACAGGCATACGCCCAATTACAGAGTGACCCGCATAATGCTATTTAGAGGTGCCTCTGCAGAAGGTCTTAAGATGGTCTATACTACTCCGGTACCTTACGAATTAGGAAAACTGCAGCAAAACCTAATTCGGAGTAGCCGGTAGAATGCTCGGAACTGGCCTAAGGTAATTTCCATCTCCGCCACAGATGAAAAATTCACCTCAACCCAGGTTCGAACACCCGACCTTCGGATTTATAACCCAATGCTCTTACCACTGAGCCATAAATCCGATCCGATTTTAGGTATGTAATTTCTCTGGAAATGGCAGAGGGTGGCAATTATTCATTTTAGAGAACTTGTCCAAACGTTCATTGAGCGAAATTTCGGGTTGTGTTTTCTAAAAGTGACAGCGTGACAGTTCTCATTATTGACTACTAGTTAATAATGTCCACATTATTAACCACTTTGAACAAATGCCGAGAAAGCGTACTTTACAAGTGGAAAAAAGGTTAATAATCATGTCACCAGACGCTAGTAGTGAAAAAAAAAATGTTTATTCAATGACCATAATCTCTCCATGAAAGCTAAGTATTTTCTCTCTTTTCAGTGGAACTGTGGAAATAAATGAAGATTTTCCTTTACCAAAGGAAGATGGCATAAAATGTTGTTCTTCCCCATGCATTGTCGTCTTTTTTCGAAAGAATTTATAAACGAATAAGGATTTTGCTCTACCAACTTAATCTCAACCATAATAAAAGAGGAATGACCTCGACCCTCGACCTTAACCAAGGAGAGATGGTGTAATATTTTGCCCCCCCCCCTCGCCCATAAACGGAAAATGCCTTTTGGTTTTGGTTTCTCCAACGAAATTTGCTCTACCAAAAAGAGATGGCCAAACATTTTGTTCCCCCTCATCCAGGTATATTTCCCCAAAATTTGTAAATAAATAAAGATTTTGCGCTACCAACTTCGCTGTTTAGGCTAAGTTGCTTCAGTTTCCCCGATTCCAGATAGCTGTGATCGAGGAGCTGACGTCTGTCTCTGATGAAGATGTCACATCAGTGACAGACCCCATGCTCGGTAGTTTCATCTGCACCCTATTCCGCAGTGCGCTGGCACCCAGATCAACCTTACCTTATTAGACTCACCTCTATCTAGAGTTCGCCTGCAATCAAGCGCCATAGCCGATCGGAACCTGACAGGGTCCTCGCCGTGACCTGACTATCGCTGCATATGTATACGAGATGCTTATTATGGATGCCTTAGGAAGCCTAAGATCTATGCATGAAATAACGGTGCCCGTTCCCCTATCCGTTAGGGACCCGTCTGTAAACCACACGAGTCTCTCAGGCTTGAGGAACGGGCAATCTGAGTTCATCCCAGGGTTCATCCACTGCTCCTTTTCCGGAAGAGTAACTCTTCGGTCCCGATCACATCCCTTCTAGCTAGGAGGGGCCAGTGCCCAAGGCTGCTTCGCTTCGATCATTCCACTCGTCCCAAACGTTGAGCCATATGGAAGCCTTCCGAGCCTCTGCTTCCACAGTTAACTGTAAAGACACTAGTACCAGAAGTGCCTCCATGGCCAAAGTTGGCGTGGTTTTTAAGACCCCAGTGACTCCCAGACAGGTGAGTTTCTGACCTTTTCCCACCTGCTTCCTGTAGATTGCCCTGCGCATGGCTGGCCACTAGTCGGTTCAAGCCCCATGTACAGGGTGAGTCAACGATTGCGCGGAGTAACTTAATGCCTTTAAGATAAGATTTTCGATAGAGTGCTTTTGTATTATGATATGGTTGAATATTCTCCACATTTTAAATATATTTAGAATTATACAGGGTGCGCCCACAAAGTAGGGCATCCAAATGGTACAATTTTTTTAATAGAACCCCCTGCATTTGAATGCATTTTTGAATTCTACGTGTAGTTGTACGTCTTTTTGATTATATTAATATGCGAAAAGCTAGTAGTTTTAAAGGTAATTCGATTTTTAAGAAAAATTGGGCATTTGCAAGCGTCAGTATATTGTCAAAATTATTACTTAAATTTAGATTCCAGGTTTTATATCTTTTATCCTGGGTTAAGTAAAAGTCAAATAAATACATCTACTATGAAACATTAAAAATATAGCTTACAGGGTGTTTTTTTTGGTAGGTCCAAAGTTGCAAAACTTCATATTAAAAAATCGCACTTTTTTTAAATGGAACTCTATATATTTTTCTGTCATTATTTAGCTCCTCCAAAAACCTTCAACTTTTGATAATAATGTCTTAACCCAGATCTCTGATAGTTTTCGAAATATCTTGGTTTACCTGTTTTATATTCTAACCTTAAATAAACCCAGGGTTGCTTTTTATTTTTTAGGGGAAAAAACTACCCCTATTAGAAAAAAATCGTATAATTGTAAATTAAAGCGGATAATTGATTCAAATCATCTTTTAAATAGTTATAATTAAAACAATGTCATAGAACACTTTGACTCCACTGTTTTGCATGAAAATTTGGATTTAGGTTATTCTTACCCTCCACATCAAAATTGGACTGGTGCCGTTGGTTGCTCTTTATTTTTTAGGGGTGGAAACTACTCCTATTAATCATATAATTGTAAATTCAAGATTTGAGATTATTTAATTATACAGTAACATTAAATTCAGATTTCTTTGCTAGTCTTATTTTTTACCACATAATTTCTACCGTTACAATAACAAACCCTTGCGAAGAAATTCGAATAGTTGTAGTAAATATGTGATTGGTTTTTTACTCATAAATCGATTAATTTTTAAGCTACGAAGTGCTTTAAAAAACCATTTTGTAGGTTTTTTAAAAAGATATAAGATTATTCAAACTAATTTTTTTAACCCTTATTTTTGAAGGGGTTGTAGTGAAAGGGCTCGAATGAGTCACTAATGACGAGTGTATGCAAACATTGAACAGCCATATCTTAACCAATTTTTGTTTTACAGAAAAACAAAAAGAAGCAATATGTTCAGAAAAACAAAAGCTACAGTATCACTAATACTTTTGAAGTTATTTTGAAAAAAAGGCAATTTTTCAAAATTTCAAAACTTTTTTTACTTCAAAACTACATTTTTTCAAAAATAAGGACTTTGCACCGGTCGGACTTACAGATCATATAAACAATACAAAATTAAGGTAAACTGTAAAGCGGTAACGCTTATTTACAATTGGGGTGCTAATTAGGGAGTGATTTCGTCGATTTTTTTTACCAAAAAAAAAGGATCAACTTTATTTTGAGCGTAACTCACTTAGTTTTGATGCTAGGAACTTTTCTTAAAAACAAAAAGGAAAGTTTTTTCAAACACTTTAAAAAAGTATTCATAAGTTTTCCCCGAAAAGTGCTTCATTTTTTGGTTATTTCACGTTGAAGTACTCGATTTAGAATTTGACGAATGAGAACCTACTTTTCATGAGCTACAACTTTGCTTCTACTGAGTCTACAGACTTCATATACATATAGACCAACTCGAATACTATTGACTTAGTGAAAAAACTCTATAGAAAAAATTACAAAAGTCCTCGTATGTGCATCGATGAGACTTCAGCGCATTTTTGGCGTGACGGATCAGTATTGCATTAGCAATCAGTATTTTATCAGAAAATTTTAATTATAAAATAAGGTTTATGCAAACATATATTTCTTTATTAATTTTCACGAACTCTAATAATAATTGGACGATGGTATGAACAGTACGACTCGTAAACCGAACAATCAACAGTGTAGTTGACCATTTTGCCAAAAAGTCCGTCAATTATTGTTCCGCCATTCGTTGTCTCTGTTCGGGGAGAGATGATCACTATATTGAATTTCTCTTGAAGAAATTTCTCTACCCGATTTCCGACAGTTAATGGGAAATTAAAGTCTCCCATAATCAAGACGTCTTCAGTTGCCTCAATGAAATCCCCGATCTCCGATAACGCTGCAATCAACAAGTTGTTGCCTTTACTAGGAGCATCAGTGGTTCAAATTTCAAAGAAATATCTCCATAAATAAGAAAGTTGGCATTGCGCAGTCACTGCGCATGCCTACACATAATTTTTACTATTTGCGAAATGTTTGCCTTTACTAGAAGCATCTGTGGTTAAAATTTTAAAGAAAAATCTCAGTAAATAGGAAAGTTCGCATTGCGCAGTCACTGCGCATGTCTACATAATTTTTACTATGTGTAAAATGTTTGCCTTTACTAGAAGCATCTGTGGTTAAAATTTCAAAGAAATATCTCCATAAATAAGAAAGTTGGCATTGCGCAGTCACTGCGCATGTCTACACATAATTTTTACTATTTGCGAAATGTTTGCCTTTACTAGAAGCATCTGTGGTTCCAATTTCAAAGAAATATCTCCATAAATAGGAAAGTTGGCATTGCGCAGTCCCATTCCGCAGGGACTGGGCATGCGCACACATAATTTTTAGTATGTGCGCAATGTTTGCCTTTACTAGAAGCATGTGTGGTTAAAATTTCAAAGAAAAATCTCAGTAAATAGGAAAGTTCGCATTGCGCAGTCACTGCGCATGTCTACATAATTTTCACTATGTGTGAAATGTTTCAAAGAAATATCTCCATAAATAAGAAAGTTGGCAATGCGCAGTCTGCGCAAAATAGAGAGTGCAATAAAACTGTCTGAAATGGGCAAATATAGACCATAGCAGCTATCAATTAGCGAAAACCCGAAGTCTCTAGGTGTCCCAGGGGCCGAGATCTCGATGGAACGGACGGACGGACGGACGGACGGACGGGCGGACGGACGGACGGGCGGACGGACGGACGGAAACACGAGCACATAAGCGTTACCTCAACTTCGTTGTGTTACGATAAAAACCGCTCAGACCTGGATACGATATTTTTAACCAAAATTATACCACAAACTGTAAAACTCATCACCGTGTTATGATTTTGATTAGTTTTCACCTTGAAGTAGTTATCCTAGATAAGTCATATTAGTGACCGTAGTTAGGCAATGCCAAAAGTATATTTTATAAAAAAGCCATTCCTTAACGTCAATCGGATCGGCTTAAAATCGATATACGCACGGACAAGTTTTCAAGCGGCGTTAGTTATTTCGCAAATTCTAATTAAACGCAACCACTACGGGCTTAATGAATGTCCATTGCGCCAATAACTCGACAAGACGGAGATAATGCAAAAAACCGGACCTCTCTACGATGTCTAGATCAAAAGTTTTTCAATCCGCCCAGCCAGCCAGCCAGCCAGCCAGCCAGTCAGCCGGACAAAGTGAAATGATAAGCTCCTTTTTGTTACCAAAAATGCGCTAAAAAGTTGCCTAGAATTACTCAATTTAGTAATTTCCGAACTTATTTTGAGCGTATCTTTTTTATACACGTAAAAGCAACCCCAAGTTCACCTTTGAAGTAGAGGTTAGAGGAACCTAAATCCAAATTTTCAAGCAAATCCGTCAAGGTGCGAAAAATTACACGCCAAAACCGTCATTTACTGGCCTATTAATGACCTGGCCAGACCCAGTTGACGTCCCCTAAGAGTGAGCTCAGTAAGGTCCGCTCTTCTTCTATGCGTAAATAGAACAACCACTGTCTTTTCTGGGTTAACGGAGAGGCCATGGTCACTGCACCACCTATCCACCTGTTCAAGAGCGCCCTGCATGAGCTCTTTTACGAGGTTAAGAATCTGTCCAGTTATGATAATCGCGAGATTGTCCACGTATCTCTGTGTACACGCTTCGTCCTTGTTCAGAGTGCGGAGGGGCCCATCTAGCACCACAGCAGTGGAGACAACACTCCACTCTGCAGGTACCCTCTAGGAACCGATAAGCTCATCTCCAGTAGTCCCGATTGGAGGTATAATGACTTTGTTTTCGAGCTATCTTACGATTGACCAATCAATGCCAAAGTCTTCAGCGGCCTCACTAATTGAATCGAACGTGGTGTTGTTAAACGCACCCTTCATATCTACCAACGCTCCCAGGGCTACCCCCTCAGCAGACATATTAAACAAGTCGCCCCCTTACTGTGCTACAAATTGCCCTGTAAGCAAGTTACCTGGTCCGTCACTGATGTACTAGGTTTCCCCCTCCCCTAGTGACTCCAACACGAGCCAAAAGCTCGTCGACATCTTTTTCCACCTTTGAAGGCGCCGCCGGTAGAAATTCCGACGCCCTTTCGAGATCCATACCGAGGTATTGTCGCAACGGCACTGGATCCCACTACTTCGACGAAGCCCCCTCCATTCCCTAGCGCAACCAGGACCTCCGCGTGCGCTTAGAAATTCTACCGCTGGAGTGCTCAACAGGTTGCTTCATGGACATCAAATACGAGGAGAAGCCTACCGGACTCCTCCATGCGCAAGATCGTCCTCCATAGGCTCGCCCTGAAACCAGGATTTTCCTTTGGAGGCGCTTCAATGTAGTTGCCTTAGGGAGGCTTCTGAACTTTCAGAGACGCGCCATACTAGGACCTAATGAGAAAGCCGGTCCTCCCCAACCAGTCCAACTGGTGCTAGCGTTCGACCACAATGATACCCTGCGAATTCCACCGTAACCCTGCTAGCCGAGAAAAGGATCCCCCTCCATCTCGTCAACGACCGCATTCAATGCAACCGTAATGCACCTCGACTGAGTCTCAGGTATGTCCACTTCCGGGTGCGTGCGACACCGGAATATAGGCCACCCTTTGCCCCGCCGCAGCGACTTGCCCATAGGTTAGTGGTGCACTCGCAACTTTGGATGCACGAGAAGGGTGATTCCCTCCGATCTGAGACGCTTGGTCCCTGAGTTGCCCCCCTGAGCCAGCGACCCAGACATAGCCTTAGGCTTTGGCGCAGTGTTCATCGCCTTCGTCATATTCTTCTTGAGAATAGGAGATGGCCCACCACCAGGTCCTTGAATAAAGTGTTGCGTTGGAGCCGCCCCCTTTTTCGAGGGGTCTTCGCCGTTACCGGACCCGTTTTGAGAGCCCGGCGACCTTCGTCGCTACCCTGATGAGCCATTTATAATCGTCACGACCCACGTCCAGGCACGAGTCACTTTACGATCATGCAGGTGTCTGTATGAGCGTCCCTCTGTTCTCCACCCGGGGGACGCGCCCGATGGGTGCTCCCACCACACGGGTTCTACCAACTTAATCTCGACCTTAACCAATGACATTCTGTTCCTCCCCAAGAAATCTAAGTGTCTTTTCCAACGAAATTTACAAATAAATGAAGATTTTTCCCTACCAACCGCTACCAACTCAATCTTGACCTTCACTAAAAAGAGAAAACACAATCCCCCCCCCCCTCCTACCGACAACAAAGTTTTTTGTCTTTTTCCGACGGAAGTTGTAAATAAATGAGGATTTTGCTCTACCAACGTAATCTCGATTTTAGCCAAAGGGATATGTCATAAAATGTCGTTCCTCCCCATGAATTCAAAGTTGTTTTTTTTCGAAAAAATGTGTAAATAAATGAGTTTTTTGGCAACTTAATTTCAACCTTAATAAGAGAGACAATAATCACCTTCCAAAAGGTTATCGGTCATACTTGCAGTTAAAACAGAACCTTTGTGTGCTAATAATTTCTAAGTAATTAAGATACCTATATAAAGGGTTTGATTTTAAAAAATACCAACATTCGATCAAGTCGTAGAAAAGTTGGTCCTTTTTTTACTACGCCACTGGACTTATAAATATTTAAAGAAGGCAGTGTTTACTCTTTTTCTAGCTTACATTGGTAGTTAAATATAACATCCCAAAGAGTCGGACTTTTCGCTTTCACCCCGTATCCCAAAAACAAACGGAGCAAGATTGTGATGGCTCAAGGTCGCGAAAATCGTAAGTGTCTATCTTAAATAGAACACCCGGTACAGTTATCTCTCCAGCAGGATGATAAAGGCAGAACTACCTTCAGAGAGGGTAAGTGGATGGAGCCGTTCCCCAAGGGTCGATCTTGAGACCACTGTTGTGGAACGGGCTCTATGGAGCGAAGTTGAGGTTTGGTAAAGCTCAAGGTTTACATTGCAAATGTAGAACTGTGACATGGTTTCATGTCTAATCTGATCGTGCCATGGTCAAGATTCATTGATTCATGTTGCAATCCTTTACGTTATGCGGATTAGGGTGAAAGCTTAGAGCTATGATGTCAACATCTTAGAAAAGTGTGAAAAATGGAAGTGATGTTTTCCGATGCATCAATTGGCAATTATTACAAAGTTTTGAATGTGTTCGTCCTCAAACTCATGGTCGAGTATGAGTAACACGCTCATCATATCTAGCACTCACTTAAATATCAATATTGAGAGATAACCGCATATCTCCGATCGCTACAGGTGGAACAGTTCGAAATGGCGATAAGCTCCTGGATCGAAGACTACGGTTCCGAAATGTTCAAAAACTTCAACATGTCCAAACTGGGCCGGGACGAGGCCTACTTGAACATCACCTCGGAACTGCCAGGGCCACTCCATCTCTACACCGTGTACAATGAGTGCCACATGGTAAGTTTTACCACCATCACCTTCCGTTTCTGAAACGCGTTGTTGCAGTGCCCTTTCACGAAGGAGGGCACAATTGACAGTGGGCGCATGGTGATCAGCACACGCTTCGAAAAGACATGGCGTATACTGAGCTCACCAAACGAGACCATTTTGTGCAGCTTTTCACCCGATTTCGGCGAATTTGGCGTTTACGATCTGACAATTGGGAGCACGTGCAAACTAAAGACGCTGAAGGACCCGGTGAACATCTACTTCCGTAAGTATAGCAAATCACCTTCAATTTCCACGTGTTAGTCTTCGCAGCGATACTCACCGTTGTACTAATCTACGCCCTCGTCGCTTTACTTTCGGCCAACTTCGTCTACATCTTCAAGGTGTACACCAAGCCAGTCGAAAGGCAGACAACATCTCACGATATTGACCCAAAGCAGTGCACGCAGAGAAGCAGAGTCATCTCTCTGGATACCTTCCGAGGGTAAGCACGGTGAGTGCACAATCGATTGGTTAATCGTACGCCTTTCAGCATTACCATTTCGCTGATGATCTTGGTCAACTTTGGCTGTGGTGGCTACGCCCTCTTCGACCACGCGACATGGAACGGTCTACAGTTGGCCGACGTCGTCTTCCCATGGTTCATGTGGATCATGGGCGTGTGCTTGCCCATCTCGAGTCAGTCGATGAGCAAACGCGGAGTCAAGAGAAAGGAGGCCTTGTTGGGCGTGTTAAGGGTAACGCCCTCCAGTCGTTTCATAACCTAAAGTTTTCCAAGTAGAGATCCTGCGTTCTGTTTGGTTTGGGATTGTTCCTCGGCTCCGGACGTAATTTGGACACGTTGCGCATCTTTGGTGTTCTGCAAAGGTTCGGCGTCTGCTACCTGATAGTGGGCACCACGTTCCTCGCCTTTCCACCTTTGGTGAACTCGGACCCGCCTGTCGAAAAGAAAAGCGTGAAGATGTGGATGGATGTCTACGCGCTGAGGCACCAGTGGTTTGTGGTGTTTCTGTTGGGTGTACTGCACGGTATGCTAAGCTTCTTCGTGCACGCTTCGAACTGTGCCAGGTTTGCGCAATGTGCGCCGATGTGGTTTGACAGCTCAGTTTCAGAGGTTACCTGGGTCCGGGGGGCCTCCACGACAACGGAAGCCACGTGGGGTGTACTGGAGGCGCGGCTGGGTATATCGACCGATTGATTCTCGGCAACCACATTTACCAAGGCTCTGTCCTGCGGGAGATTTACAAGGGGGACGCCTTCGAAGTTGAAGGAATCCTAGGTAAGGTCGACGGTTAATAAATTGGCACTTAAATCAGTTGTAGGTTGTATCACATCTGCCATACAAGTCTATTTGGGCAGCCAAGCTGGAGCAACCATCTTATTTTACAAAGGGCACACCTCCAGGTTACTGCGCTGGATGATTTGGTCGACAGTTTTGGGACTTAGTGGTGGATTTCTCTGCGGATTTTCGAGGGAAGAGGGCCTAATTCCTTTAAACAAGCATCTCTGGTAAGATTGCACCAGATGACCACCTCAAACGGTTATTCCATTACAGGTCGCTGTCGTTCGTGTTAGTTACGTCCAGTCTTGCGTTCTTAGCGTTGGCCATTTGTTACGTGCTCGTGGATGTCAAGAGGTATTGGTCTGGAAAACCTTTTCTCTTCGCGGGGATGAACGCGATCCTCATGTACGTCGGACATAACCTCGCTTTTAATAATTTCCCAATTCGTTGGTCACCCAACGGTGACGGATTCAAGACTCACTTCGGAACGCTTTTTGAAAATGTTTGGGGAGTTGCGGTATGGCTGTTGATTGCGTATCTTTTATTTAGGCGCAAATTTTTTCTGAGTATTTAAATTGGGGGGGGGGGGGCTATAGCTGTTATGTTGTATATAATATTTATTCGCTGTGAGGTATTAAATTATTGTTAACTATTTCTCATTCTCCTTCCTTCCGCTCTGTAGGAAGCCAAGGCAACTAAACCGGTCTCGTCGTGACGTGATTCGTGCCTATAATCTGATTTTGAATGGCACGAGAGAGCTAATCATTTCTTAGGTAGAATTTTTTGACACTGGAATGCACTGGAGAATAAATCTGAAATCCCAGATGTAAAAAATGTGAACGAATAAAAAAAGGAGGTGTCGTCTTGAAAGGAATTAAGTTCCTAGTATCTCATAATTGTGTGCTCATTTTGTGCTAATTTGTGCTGCTAATTAAAAATGTTGTGCTCATCAGGGTAATCAGTAGTTCAACTTTTTCTGATAACACTCCACTCCAACTTCACGCTGGAGTGTCAACATATATATTTTAAACATTTGATTTTATTCATGTTTTGTGCTAATTTATCCTGCTAATTTAAAGTCTGATACTCATCCCGTCAATGGGCAATTCAAATTTTTCGCATAACTCGCTTAAGCTAGGTGGATATAATTGCGATCGCCGTTTTGTGGACAAAATTTTATCAAATGTTGACATTGTAGATCATTTTAAGCAAATTTTAAAGAATAAAATTTTCCGTCTATGTATACGTAAGTACGTACCTATGTATGTACAGGGTGGCCAACTAAGAATGCGAGTTACTGTATCTGAAAACCTATCCATCGTAGAGGCTTGCGGTAAAAAGTTATTACTAAAACGACCACGAGCAAAGCCTGTAAAATATTTTTGTTTCTGAAATGGCCGCTAGGGGGCGTAACTGCGATCTGGAATCTAAAAAAGTGATGTTTCTGTGAATTTCGCTATATTAACCTAACAAAAAAATGTCCGGTCTTTGAAGACGACGATAATCTGAACCTTTTTTGTTTGGCAATTTTTCCTGTATCTCAAAAAATTAAGTGGTTGGGGTATTCAAAGGTTTCCGTAAAGAACACTCTGTATCTTCGAAACGGCTAACCCAATTTAAACAAACTTGAGTTAATTGAAAAGAGTTATTCTTCGGCTACAAATATTATAATATTTGAAGTTTTGATAGTTTCACATATCACCGCTTGAGGGCTTTTTTCGACATTCCGACCGAAATGGTTAATTTTCTCAAAAAAATTAAATGAAAAAGTAGCTAAATGATGCCTAAACAGGCTCGCGAAAACAGCATCTCGATATCTTGAGATAATATGACATAGATAGATAGATATATATCGTGATGGTCAGCATTTCGAGCATTTACGGCGGCATTAAAAGCTTCCTTTTTTAAATCGATCCACCTTAGGGCCACAAATTATATAATAAAAATAATTCCGGAAAATCGCGCATTAATTATCCGCGCGGAGTAAAATTCATTACGGGAGAAACTTTTTTGTTTTTTTCTAGAATTGTATCACATATTTCCAATGAATTATGGCCAAAGGACACAAAAATGTTTTTTAGACGGAATTCTTAAGAAATGGTTTTTAATTTCCTTTTGTCAGCAGTTTTATTAAATTGCGCGACTTCAGGAACACTAAAACCCGCAATCGAAAGTATTATTTTTCAAATAATTATTAATAATCGATTTTCAAATGGTGTCTCTAAGATTTAAATAACCATTACACTTACAAAACTCAAAGTATTATATACAGGGTTAGTCAAAACTATGGAATGTATCTATCTTCGTTAATATGAATTGTACATGTACAGTAATAGTATATTACCTACTAATATGAAAGTGAAATGGGAAATTCGAGGGGAAATTTGTCCGTATACATAACGCTATCAGACATTATTCTGAAAGCAAAATAATTGAATAGATGGATCCTGTTTGGTATCGTCGGAAAGGTGGTTCTTTTCCTCTTCCTACATAAAAATAGTCATTTCGTTAATAATTAAACGATGTTTAAAGTAATATAAATCCATTTCCAGAATACTAGACCTTGAAGTTGGAGTGTCATCAGAAAAAGTTGAATTACTCATTAATCTGATGAGCACAACATTTTTAATTAACAACACAAATTAGCACAAAATGAGCACAAAATTATGAGATACTTAGAAGTTAATTTCTTTCAAGTCGACACTCCAACCTATGGGACCCGGGGGAGTGAGGTTCATACCAAACAGTACTCGTCGAATACAATAAGGGCATAGGAATGGCATACCGCGACTCGTGGAGGACGTACTGCGAAGAAATTAACCAAATTCCAGAAGGTGTCAGACTCCAAAGAACCTTACAAGAAGGACAGAGGGTAAGATCGATCCCAAAACGACGCGGACAAACCCACTGCTCTGCAACGTAAAGCTAAAAGTACGACACCAGTGGGAGAAGGGAAATACTTGGCCATCACGTCACACCAGGGACTTACCTTCAAATCACATCGAAAAACTTTACCAAAAGGAGAATCCGTATCAGTTACAGACAGCGAAACAGCGATTGTTTTTGCCCATATGCCTACTGTGTTCGTGATGCTTATTTCCTTTGATTTCGGCCTTATGATGTGAACAATCTGCGATTCCGAGTTTCCCCTCCAACCAGAGTTGGACTGCGTCACTGGGTCAACTGGGTCACCTGGGTCACTGAATTAAACTGGGTCACTGGGTCGCTGGGTGACGTCATACTCGCTTCAGTTAGACCCAGTGACCCAATTTCACCCGGGGACCCAATTTGACCCAGTAATCTAGTTTGATCGAATAACGCAGTTAAGTCAGTGACCTCGGTTCAATTGTCCAGATTATGAAATAAATGAAACTTAATGCTGGTTTACTGAAAATAATACTCGATTGCATGACAACTGCCATTTCTGTGATGTTTGCTTTAATACTGCCGTAAAAAACGTTCCATGCCCGAATTGTATTAGAGTAATGTTATATCTAAACAGTTCCCTCCTCCATTTCTTTACTTCAGGGCTTACCAGTTGCTTACTGGTGTTCATTCACATTTAATTCTACTAGTTACCTTAATACAAATAAATCTTTCTCTAAATACTTTTTCTATTTCGGTGTCACAATGAGAATTTTGTGCAACTGTCTTCGGCAAAAACAGTGTTTCAACGAGTTCCATTGTAACATTGTTTTTGGTAACTTTTCATCTCTAAGTTGGCAGTTCGCCAAGACGTCAACGTCAAATCATCAGATGTGAAATCAAATTACGTAAAATTTGTGTTTTCCTTGATTTTTGGTACACGAAGAACTTAATACATTCCAAATCAGCAGTTTACACATCCACCATAATAGTTATTTATGTATTAAGGGCATAATGGTGATGTTTATATTCTCGAGGGCGACGAGTTAAAAAGGCCCGAGAGCTTTTTAGTTGCCCGAGAGTATAGACATCAGTTTATGCCCGTGGTACATACACAATTTTATGTTTTACAAATAGTTTTCTTCGTCAAAATTCGTTTACAAAATAATTCATTATGTTTGATCGAGTATGCGTGGTTCGAATTTGTTAATGTGATTGAAACCATCCAAACGTCAAACGTAATTTTAAACAATTCAATTCATCGTGAATGAGCAAGAAGTTCCAGAAACTATACGAAATAAGGCAAATCTTGTGATTTAGTAGGTATTGACAATTAATAATTGACGTTTCTAATTTTCAATTACTTGCAAATATTTGTTTGTTTTGTCATTAAGTATAAATGAGTTACTATGGTGATACTTAATGCCCTAGGGCATAAAGTGGTACTTTATGCCCGCGTATCACAGATATAAAATGTGCTATTATAGGTTAGTAAGACATAAATAAATTTATCTACGAATAAAAAATTACACATTCACGGAATTTAAAGTTTCCAAATGTCAGTGTTGTGTTTATCTAAGCTGCCAACTTAAAATTTGTCAACGTAAATGGTGTTGCCAACTTAAGACATATTAATTCTTAAGTTTCCTGTAGTTTTTCATAATTACTTTTTAATTAAATTAAAGCCTCGAAATAGAAAAAATAGTATGAAAAACACGTGTTACAATGCTTGATTGTAATACTCCTATCTTGTGGACACTCCGCTTCGCTACGCCACTCGTGCCACAAGATAGTCGTATTACAATAGGTCGCATTGTAACACTTGTCTTTCAATATACTATTCATTGACTACTTGACTACAAACTATAAACAAATGCGTTAGATTTTTGAGGTATTAGTTCTCTTGAATGAAATTGGACTACGTGCTTGTTGGCGAATATTATTGAGGAGGTTTTTTTTTAAATTAAAAGTAACTTGAAATTGTTTTGGATGACAAAATTTAAATACCAATACAAACCTAATGCTATAAATTTGAATAAAAATTAACCTTAAGATATTCCGTTCCGGATACCTAACAATAATTTAATTACTGAGTCACCGGATTCAACTGGATCAACCTAGGGGTCAACGGTTTAAACTGGGTCACCGGGTCAAGATGGGTCACCGGGTAAAGCTGGGTCAAGATGGGTCACTGGGTCAAGCTGGGTTACAGGGTCAAACTGGGTCACTGGGCCAAGTAGACCACTGGGTCACCGAGTCACTGGGTCACTTTATGCTTGACCCTGTCCAACTCTGCCTCCAACATGTTGTCAGCACCGTTTTGGACTCACTGAATGTGTTTTCCATCCTCAGGCCATGTAGGTGTACCATGTTCCTAAGCTCGCTGCCGTTCCCGTTGTCATGCTCGTGCTTGATAGCTTTGACTATACCGTGTTCCTCCTCTTCCCTTCCGTCCAGTCTGCCTAGTTGCGAATTGAAGTCGCCTAGTATGATATCCGGATTCTTTCCGCGCTTTTATTCTATTGCTTCAGTTAGCTTTCTGAGTTCCGCCTGCCCTCTTTTATTCGAGGGAATGTGGTGTCCTATGACTGTTAGTCTTCATATGTTCGTCTTGATTAGGGCCATGGATATACTCTCGCTTTTTTCATCAAATTTCTCCACCTCAGTGCCTCGGTGCTTCTTGATTACGATTGCCGTATTTGTTAAGATATTTAAACGAAATTTTGTACTTAGGCACCTCGAATAAAAGTTAAACAAATGCCGAATCGAACAATTTGTTTTGCGCATGCGCAGTAGCTTTTTTAAAATGTGTTAAGATAGTTAAACGAATTTTTGTATTTAGGCACCTCGAATAAAAGTAAAACTAATGCCGATTTAGAAAATTTGTTTTGCGCATGCGCAGTAGTTTTTTTAAAATTTGTTAAGATATTTAAATGAAATATTGTATTTAGGTACCTCAAATAAAAGTAAAACAATTGCCGAATCGAAAAATTTGTTTTGCGCATGCGCAGTAGTTTTTTTAAAATTTGTTAGGATATTTAAACGAAATTTTGTATTTAGGCACCTCAAATAAAAGTAAATCTAATGCGGATTTAGAAAATTTGTTTTGCGCATGCGCAGTAGTTTTTTTTTAATTTGTTAAGATATTTAAACGAAATTTGTTTTACAAGCTATGCTGTTCTGGTAGGATAGAATCAACCCCTTAGGTATATTGTAAAAATGATGTATGTGTGAAGATCTCGGTCGGTATTCAGTTGTATGGGATTTTTTTACATCAATAAGAAACAAAAATCAATTAAGCACTACTGTATATCAAAAATGATTAAAATGATAGGAATCTAATGTAACAAACAAAATTGTACGTTCATTCGTCCTCAAGGTGCTGTTTACATCGATTATGTTCAAGCTTTTAGGTTAATCAAAACATACTTTTACTTTCGTAGTCAAATTGGTTCAGTCTTGCCTTTATTCTACGCAATTGCTGTCACGTATAAGAATGCTACGTCTAATTTTCACATTTTTTCTTTTTAAATTCGGCCATTGCTTTTTAATGACGGCTAAAAGCGATGTAGTAGTTCAATCTTGCGTTTCTCGCGTAATTTCTTCAATTTTTGGAAGCGAGTCTACTTTGTATTACGTTTTCCAAGGAGAACGTCGAGACGCACTACCGTTCGATGTGGTTAATCCCATTGTAACATTCAACGTTAGCAACCCTATAATACTCACTGGTACGAGGAGGGAGAAACAGTTCGTAATTCAATGGGACTACTTCGAAGATGATGTTTTTGGCAAGATGATGAAGAGCGAGTTATGGGTGCACAGATTTATGGGTACCTCTGTATTCTTAATTATTACGAAGGATCTTAAAATGTTAACTGACTTGTTTTTTTATATGTGGCAAAGAGGATTGATTTACGTGGCCCTGATGATTACTCACGAAAACGCTGCCTTAACCACACTGCATACAGCCTTTCCTTTTGGACCCAATCAGGAAATTCAATGGGAAATGCAGTTCTGTGAAGACCCGCAAATGAGGAATACAATCTTGAAGCCAATCAAAAACTACAACCGTTTCGTGTCTTATCTCATGGAACCCTCAATAACAACTTGGGAAAACTCACGTATTAATAAATTAGCGACAGGTAATTTGGTAACAATTAATGCATTAAAAGAAACGTACAACCTGAGTATAAAATCAGTAAGCAAGCGTCCTGCACTGTTTCTTAACCAACACGTATTTGGTATTACACCTTACGATTTGTTTTCACTGAAAATCAGTGGTGTCACTAAGCCCCATTTACGAGGAGAGTGGGTTTGGATGGTTCCTCAACCAAAGCAAATTGTTGGACCGGCGATTTTTATTCGACGATTTGAAGTAGAAGTCTGGATAGGGACGGTATGTGCATTTCTTGGTCTCACTTTTGTGCTGTGGTTAGCTTTGCGAAAGTCTGACGTGACTAAAATCTGTTTAGATGTGTTTTTACTAACAATTTTTGGTCTTATTGATAAAATGCCGACTACTGCAATGCTACGTTATGTGATCCTACTGTATATTATATACAGTATCCACATCCAGACCGCATACATATCTAACTTGGTTCCCAGTTTGACACTTCCTCAATACGAAAAAGGCATAAGAACTATTGAGGATTTAGCCAACTCCAAGTTTCCCATCTATGATACTGAGAGCGAGACTGATCGCTCAGATATTATTCCGGCAAACGATACTACATCAAAGAAAGCTCTTCGATCCAGAATCAACCAGAAAATCATTTACTTGAAATTAGATGAAAACATGCTATTCGACATGTTAAAGGAGTGGAATAACTTTTCTTTTAAAGCGACATCCTTCCGTGTAGAGCAATTTGAGACAGTCCGAAATTATACTATCCCTAATACTATAATTGATAATGCGTTTAGTGGACTAATCCAGATCTCTTATACGATGCTCACTGCAAGAGGAGAACATTACTTTTTAGATACATTAAACGAAATGGTCGACATGCTTACCGAAAGTGGGATTTATCAGAAACACGAACGAGACGTGGACGAGCGACTTCAAGACGTTGCAAGATCTAGAATGATCCCTCATGAACCCGTAGCTCTGGATTTGCGTCACCTTTACGGTTTATTCATTATCTACGGATTTGGATTGGCCATATCTTTTATCGTACTACTGGGAGAATGCGTTCTCGGGAGACTTAGTCCCTAATGCACAATATATTAATCTCGATTGATTGTATTTTTATTGAAATGTTATTTTTATGATCGCTAGACGTGTATTGCATATGTGCATTGTGTGAAATAAATTATCTTTCCTTCGCAAATCCAAAGTGTCACTAAAAATATACACAACCGCTTTTAGATCGACAGCTGGCTTAACTCGAAATGCTCGGTTAAGCCTTGTGCTGTAAAAACATTGTAATGGTCCCTGGGAGTCTATCAAGTCGACACTGAAAACGTTGACTCACCCTATACTTACCATTGACAACTCTGCCAAAAATCTACAAGCAGAGCCACCTACTTTTCAAGTCGAAACGATGGACGTTTCGCGGCACTTTTGAATTTGAATGGCAGTCGGTTATATATGGGTGGCATGAATGAACTCCTACGTGGTGTAATCGGTTCTTGTATGTGTTGGGACGTAAGACATAATCGGGAAGAGAGTTAAATAAAAGACAGAACTTTTGTGCGTAAGAAATGACAAGAACAAATAAATATATTACGCACACAACAAGACAATACCAGGGAAACCTTCTACGGGACAAAAACCCCAGCATAGGCCACAAAAATACATGAAATAAATCCTACAGCAATAAATTGCAAGAGAAAATACACATAAATAAAACATCTCAAATTGTATGATAAAAATCAGATAATCAAATCAAATGCAATTAAACAAGTTCATAAAAACAAAATACACAAAACATCATAAATGCAGTGGAAAACCTGATAAATCAATTCAGTACAAAAACACATCAAAATACATGTACAATTAATTGAGCTAGCACAACTGGTAAAATAATAAATTGCATGTAAATGGCGTGGGTCTCCTCCAACCTTGGGTTAACATAAATTAAATTAACACGAAAAATACATGTGAGAATGCCAATAGCAAGTATTATGTGAAAATCGATTATTGTTCAAGCAGAACATACTTTAAATAGAGGAAATGTTAATGAGAGGGCCCATAAATATCTCGCATTGCTAAGATGCTAAGAACTGCAATCCACACGAGACGAGTACGCAACAGATACAGCGAAAAATCGAACTGTATTAGGTACTTACTCCATCGATACAGAATGAACCACTCGCACACACAAACATCGAAACATCAAATAAGAGAGCCCCCCTTCGTATAGCTAACGCACAAGAACTGCAGCGCGCCACGAATCTCATATCGTACTTTCTGGAAAGGACACGTCATTTTCGCTCTAACTTCTTACCTCCGGTGACTGATCCTTTATCGACTTGATGACCATAAATAAAATCTTGCCTTCTGAACTACCTTAAAAGTTCAAATCTGCCCACTAATTTACTAAACAAATATAAAATATTTTAGAGTGAGCGAAAATGAACTAAAAACATAAGGGGGTTGCAGAGTGTATGAGGAAAGCAATAATTGAAACTACTGCTGCTGAATTAAACCTAATAAATATATTTATGCAAAAGAATTATGTACACACTTTAATTTTGTGTATTATTTATTTTCTATAATTAATAATAATTTATATTCTTTAATAATAATTGTATTTATTTATATTAGCTTAAAAACCGAAAAAAAACTGGAACCTAAACCGAAGCCAAAAATTACTGAAGCCATAGAATGGGAACCGGTACCGGAACCCTTAAAATTAATTCTACCTAAAAAGTGCGGAACCGAAACCTATATTTCATATGGGTTCCAACTGGAACCGGAACCGAAACCGAAAATTACTGAAGCCACAGAACCGGAACCGGTACCGGAACCCTTAACAAATAATTCTACCTAAAAAATTCGGAACTGGAACCTATATTTCCTATGGGTTCCAACTGGAACCGGGACCGAAACCGAAAATTACAGAAGTCACAGAACCGGAACCGGTACCGGATCCCTTAAAAAATAATTCTACCTAAAAGTGCGGAACCGGAACCTATATTTCATTTATATAATATTATCCTAAAGGAAAGGGAGGAGTTTGGAAACGTAAGGCCAACTTACAAAAGAGGATGAATTCCATGGTGCACAGATGGTTCAAAACAAGGACCAAACTTCCGTACCAATGTACTTTTATGAAACTGGAAAAGGGCAAGAAAAGCAAAAATGACATCCTTACAGACATCCAGGTCGCACTCAAGGCGAATCGAAACTAGTCTGGCAGTTGATCTGTAATCTGAAGAAACAGCTGGTAAACATAGACCATGATACGCTATAGTGGGTGCCTGGGCGCTCAGGTTATGCAGGCAAGGTCAAGGGGGATGTTTCCAGACTGAGCCCAGGGCCAACTTCGATAAAGGACCGTGCAAAAATGGCAAGAAAGTTAAATAATATAATTAGCGGAATCAAAATTAAAATTTAATTAAAAAAACAATAAATAAATTTACAAATTATTGTAAATTAATCACGCCAGCGTATAAAAGTTGCGAGAGTCGGGGGCAGCCTGGATGTGATGTCGGCGGAACGGACGAAAGGACTCGAGCGCCACCAAGAGATATACGACCTTGCTCCTTGGTCAAGGGCCGCGGTAGTAGCGGTTTACCGGAAGCCTCGGGTAAACTCATTCAGAGTAAACGGAAGCTCCAGGAATCGGACGAGTACAGCAAATGGCGGCGATCACTTGGGAAGCACTAAAACAAAGTACCGAAAGTATCAAAGATTAATATGGTTACAAAATATGTATCTAGCAAAACAAAAAAGGTAAAAAGATCTTACGTTTCAATTAAGACACTAAAGAAAAAAGATCTCGTCTAAACAACGGCCTTACCTTTTATAAAATTCGGCCACGCCATGGAGGGAACGCCGGTTTCTCAGTTTCCCCAGTGTACCCGCCGGATAATAACGTTCAAAAATTAAAACTTCTGTAATTAATTGTGCGCCTTAAAACTCTGCAATTGATTATTAAAATTCAAATTAATTAAAAGCGCGTCTTTTAAGACCACTCACGACTTAATCGGATGCTGTTACTGCAACTCATTAAATTAACTCCTGCTAATAACACTCACTTAAATGAGCGAGATGAAATTTCTAAATTCATACTTCTACGAGTAATTAATCTCTGTCGTCTCTTGTAATTTCTCAGGCCTCATCAAATTAATACCGGCGCAAATTTACACGGCCTTGCAGCTTTAATGTTCATTTTAAATTAACATAGGAAATCAAAATCATCTAATAATTACTTAGCGGGACTGGAATTCTAAAATATGAATTTGCCTCGTTTCCTAAATGACTAGAGCTTTCGGTCGCAAAAAAGATAATTTAAATATTTTGAAGGGAACTGTAGCATATTTTATTTTAATGTTTTATTTACACAATATACGATATTATTATTATTATTAAACCACTCGATTTTAAAAATTTGTCATACATCTTTGTACACAAATAGGTACGTGGTTCCTAGTATATCCGCTTTTAGTGTATGCGCCACATATACTTTGCTAGGTCATATTCCTCTTTTCTGTTATTGAGGTTAATCTGAAGTTCTGAATAGCTTTGGGCATTTCTTTCGTAGGTAAATGAATGAATGAATAATTAACCCAAGTTCTGTTCATCATTCAAACAAGTCAGCGATGACAAAGGGAAAAAATCGCACCCGGTGGGATTTGAAACAACGTTTTTTTCCATAAGCAATTAACCACTCACCGATTTACGACGTATCAAACTGTGAAATTAAAGTCCTCTTTTCGTTTATCAAATTATTTTCTTACATTAATAAGAGAAGAAAATCAATCAAGCACTTAAGAAAATCAAAAAATAATCTGAATCATACCTACATTGTAAGAAACCCAATTGTTTTGTTCAATCATTTAAAAGGTCCTCGAGGTCCTGCTTTTATTGATTATATTCAAACTTTTGGGTTAATCGAAAAATAATTTTACCTCGATCGTCAAATTGACTCAGTTTCTCTCGTACTGGACGCAATTGCTGTCACGTTTGAGAATGCTACGTCTAATTTTCACATTTTGTCTCTTCAATTTGAGCTATTGTTTTTTAATGGCCGCTAATAGGAGGGAGGTTGCAATTCAATCGTGCGTTTCTCGCGTTATCTCTGCAATCTTTGGAAGCGAGTCAACTTTGTATTACGTTTTCCAAGGAGAAAGTCGAGACGCACTACCGTTCGATGTGGTTAATCCCATTGTAACCTTTAACGTTAGCAACCCTATAATACTCACTGGTACGAGGAGGGAGAAACAGTTCGTAATTCAATGGGACTACTTCGAAGATTATGTCTTTGACAAGATAGAGAACAGCGAGTTATGGGTTCGAACAATGGGTAGCTCTGTAGTTTTAATTATTACGAAGCAGAGTAATAGGTTAATTGACTTTTACATTTATATGTGGCACAGAGGGTTGATGTACGTTGCCGTATTGGTTACCAACGAAAACGCCCTGCACAGAGTCTATCCTTGTGGACCCAATCAAGATCTTCGATGGCAAACGCAAAGCTGTACAGACTCGCAACTGACGATCACAACCTTCAAACCAATCAAAAACTACAACCGTTGCGTGGCTTTTTTCATGGAACCCTCAACATCAACTCCGGAAACGACACGTATTAGTAAAGGTGGGACAAGTATTTTGTTAACAATTAATGCATTGAGAGAAACGTATAACCTGCGTGTGAGATCAGTGTCTGATTACCCAACACTGCACCTTAACCAATACCTTTTTTGTTCTACGCAATACACTTTTTTTCCACTAGGAATCAGTTGTATCACTAAGCCGTATATACGAGGAGAGTGGGTTTGGGTGGTTCCCCAGCCAAAGCAAATTGTTGGACCGGCGATTTTTATTCGACGATTTGAAGTAGAAGTCTGGATAGGGACGGTATGTGCATTTCTTGGTCTCACTTTTGTGCTGTGGTTAGCTTTGCGAAAGTCTGACGTGACTAAAATCTGTTTAGATGTGTTTTTACTAACAATTTTTGGTCTTATTGATAAAATGCCGACTACTGCAATGCTACGTTATGTGATCCTACTGTATATTATATACAGTATCCACATCCAGACCGCATACATATCTAACTTGGTTCCCAGTTTGACACTTCCTCAATACGAAAAAGGCATTCAAAGTTTGGAGGATTTAGCAAATTCTAACTTTCCCATTTATCAAATTCTAAACAAGTTCAATTTCTCAAATGTGGATCCGGCAAACGATACTACATCAAAGAAAGCTCTTCGATCCAGAATCGCCCAGAAAACCATTTTCTTGGAAACAAAAACACACCTCCTATTCGACATGTTAAAAAAATACAATAATTTTTCTTTTAAAGCGCCATCCTTGCTTCTAGAGCAAATTCAGACAATCCAAAATTATACGTTCCGTTGGACCATAATTGATAATGCGTTTAGTGGATCAGACGATCAATCTTTTAGGGTACTTACTGCTGAAGGGGAACATTACTTTCTAGATACATTAAACGATATGGTCGACAGGCTAACCGAAAGTGGCATTTATCAGAAACACGAACGAGACGT